TAGTAGAGATGGGGTTTCATCATGTTGACCAGGATGGTCTCGATCTCTTGACCTCGTGATCCACCCACCTCGGCCTCCCAAAGTGCTGGGATTACAGGTGTGAGCCACCGCGCCCGGCCGTAAAATAACTTTTCTTAAGGAAAAGATTATCAAATTCATGTCTATTAAACATAAGATAATCATGAATTTAAGTTTCAGTATTAAAATTTTGGTTTAATTCCAATTTCTAAAATGTAGAGAAAGACTCAGAATGGCTTATTAAAGTTAGTTGTTAAATCTCACTTTCTAATTGTATTCAAGGCTAGAATAGAAAGCCTGCTGTGTAAGTCAAAACTTCTTCATTTTTGTGACAAAGCAAGCTTAAAAGTTAACAAACAGTTTTCAAGAAAATGACAGCATGAGACTGATTATAAAATGAGCCCATCTCAGAATTTCTGTCTTCCATGCTGGAGTGCCACACCTTTACTACAGGCTTAATGCTCTCATGCTTTAGAAATCACTTTACAAATGCTGAAAATGTACAGGTGTACTACTTCATAAATCTCCCACAGTCGCATTCCGTATGAGGGCATGTGTGCGTCTCAACTGAAGTTGGTAGTATTCCTATGAATATCCACCTAACTCTCAGCTGTGCTGGGAAGATCTTCACACTGAAAGGTCAGAGGTTGATTCTTCGGAGGCTGCCCATGCCTAACAGAGACCGGTACAGCATGTGAGGGACTGCCAAACACTGCTCCCTTAAGCAGTGCCCCTTCACGGGGCTGATGCTCTGCCAACAGCATAGCCAAGCAAGTCAGCTCCCCCGACCCTTACCCTAGAACTCCCATGGCAACACACAAAGACTGAGTTTCTCAAGAATGAAACATCTTAGCTCTGCCATCATCACTTTTGAAACAACAAACCCAAACATCTCCAAACTCAAAGCGTACTTTCAAGAGCACAGCAGTTATAAATCAGGGTGATATTAAAGTGATTTAAGGTTATCAAAACAAGTATGTCTACCATTACTATTTTTTGGTAGGGTAAAGTAGGAAAGGAAATGGTCAGGTAGATTTGAATAAAATGTTGATAATATTTGATCTGTTCATGCTTGAAAGAAAAATTAAATAAGGCATCAAATAAAATAGAGTAAGCTTTCAATGACTATTTCTCTTCCCTCACCTGCTGCTTGCACTGTTCAGCTCAAATGCTCTCACAGGCCCCTTCCCTCCCATCCCCGCTGCAGCGTCATGCAGACTGTCACTGTTCTGTGTGGCCTCCACACTAGCACTCCTTCCCCAACTCCTCCCGCCAACAGCAGCTCTAAATCATCACTCTTTTACCTGGTGACAGCACACACTCCTAGTGCCAGGAAAATCCTAGTTATGTTACATAAGACTTACCATCTTGGACACCTGCAACTACATTATACAATGCCGAACTCACACATGACACAGATGAGAAAACTGGAGGTTCACATGCAAGCGACTTCTCTAAGACTAAACCACTAGTTAATGGCAGAGCTGAAACCAGAGCCCAGATCTCAACCCCCCGCCACATCAATATCACGTCCATCTACTGAGTTTATGAGTTAACAACAGGCAGAGGCCAGCTCTTATTCAAGCTCATGCACGGCCTTTCCTCAGCCCAGGCATGGCATCACAGTCACTCAAGAGATGATGAAAAAAATGAATCATCTGTGAACAGGCAACAAAACACAATGGAAAAAACATGGACTTTAAAGTCATGTTTTTGGAGACAAACACCAGCAAGTGACCCTGGGAAGCTTCTTGGTCTAAGTCTTGCTCATCTGCAGAGCACCAAGAGTGGTGTGAACACACTGTGAAGGCTCAGCATAATGCCGCCCACAGAGGAAGCCCCTCAGCCTCTCAGTCTCCACTCTCCTGCCTCCCAACAGCCCACTCACAAGGTCACCCTCCTCACAACAGTAGCTTTGGCACAGAGTACCCAGGCCTGGACTGTCCAAATGAGCATCCATCAGCCACATGTGGCAACTTTCATTTCAATTAATTAAAATTAACTACAACTTAAAATCCAGTTCCTCAATCACACTAGCCACATCTCAAGAGCTCAGTGGGCATCCCAGATGGAGACTGCTCCATCACTCTAGTGAGTGCTACTGGACAGCACTGGCATCAACAGAGCACACTGCGAGCTGCGCAACAGGTGCAAGACAGGCTTCAGATGAACACATTTCCCTTCAGCATTTCAAACTCAGCAACATTCCTCAGGAATGGACTCAGATATAAATTTTTGCTCTACACCTACTCTGATGTTCTAGTATACAAAAGTCAGAGAATTCAAAATGAAAAATCAAATATTAAGGTCTAAGTATTTGAAGATACATATAAAATTTAGAAAATATGAACTTTATAGCATTATCTGACATTAACATGTTCTTCCACAGACAAAAGACACTATAGCATAACATGTGCACTGTCAACAACAGCCAAAACCTTACCGTCAACATCACTGCAAGCAACTACATTAACTAATGCCTCACTGACATCACTCTTACTCTAGAACCTCTAAATTAAATGCCCACTGCTAAAAACATACATAGTCAACATTTTACTCAGATTTTTCCTCTATAACTCTGTACCAGTACATCTAAGATGCCTAGACTTTGATATAATTACGTTATTCCTAACACTGGGCTACTAACACCTGTTAACACACAAAAACGTTACTACTAATTATTTCATTGTGTACAGACAGAATAAAGTAGTGGTTAAGATGCCACTATCACATCACGTGCTACTACACAACACTGAACGCATATACTCGCCACAGGTGTGAGGGGTGAAACCGCCCTGGAACATGCAGCCAGAAAACACTAGGCGGGGGAGCCGGGCGACCTCTATGCTAGGAGTAAAGGGCATGAGCCCGAGGACACAGAAACGCTGTAGTAGAAACCGTGTGTTTAAGCCTCACTGAGTGGTAGAGCTAAAAAGGAAAAGGAAATATGGGGAATTTTTTAGGGCAAAAATGTGAGGAAGGCATGCCGGCAAATACCGCAAAACAAGAGGGAGAAGCAAACAGAAGTCCTTGGAGACAGTAGCTGGGAGCTTTACTCAACAGCATCTCTATATATGCTAAAGACTTTCCAAATTATTGATTATTCAGAAACACTTTCCCCTTTATATTTATATCATCTTACATCAAGTCCAGTTGAAACTAAATCCAGTAGTGTACAAATTATATTTTTCCTTAAAAAGTTTTAGGATTAATAGCTTTTCACAAAATGCCTCTATAATCAAATCATATTATAACATTAAACAAAGCATTTTAATGTATCAAGAGCCTGTCTTCTAAAATTTTAACTAGTCATAATTAAGTAACTCCCACAGTTTGTGCCTCCTTTCTCTTCACAGCTCAAAAATCAGACAAGCATTATATCCAACAGATACCTACAGTCACCAATCTAAAAGCAACACAATGCTAATGTCTTCTTGAAAGATGAGCACTTGCCCATGCTTCCATAACCCCAATGTCTGCCCATCAGTTCAGGCCATTAGAACTAGGAATGATCCCAGCATTTGATCCCTCCCCTCCCTTCTTATGGAAATGCCATTCAGTGGCTCCACTTTCCTAAGGACAAAGTGATTTTTGATAACAAGTGAAATGTAAATCTCGTGAGAAAGACATTAACCCAGATCAGAGAACTACACATGAATGTGCCTCACAACAGCTTACAGAAAGGTGTATTCACTTGCATGAAAAAGATCCGAAGTTTTAAAAGACAGATTCCAGAACAATTTTTTCAAAGTGTCCAAGTCGGCATTTTTGTCCAATAAAAATGAGAAAGCAGTTCTCAAGCCATGAAGAAATT